CGCTTCCCCCCCCCTCCCCCGCGCCCGAGATTCCCCCCCCCCACCCCTCACGGGAAGGCAGTAGAAAGAGAAACGCAGCGCCTTCCCCAAACCGGTAGCGGCTCCTTCAACAGCCGCCGCCGCTGCCCAGGCCTCGAGGGCAAAAACCCGTGAGAGAGAGAGAGAGGGTGCGGCCTCGTCTTGCTTACCCGCTGCTAAGAAGCCGAGGAGGACGACGAGGAACCCGAAGCGCTGCATCCCGACCTCTCCTTGCTTCTCGAGCTGCACCGTCTGCAATGCGGGAGCATCAGCTGATCAAGGCGCCTATATAACGAGACCGGCCGGAGGATCGGCTACTGCGCGTGCGGAGTAGAGAAGATGCCCTCCCCCTCCTCCTCCTCGCCCTCCCCCTCCCACACCCGAAATGGGTGTTATTGCGCAAGCTCAGTATAGGAAAGGGGGGAGAAAGAAAGCCGCAAATCTTCGCCCAATTCAAGGCATTTCTTCGGCGCGCATGCGTCCTTGGCTGCACAGCCGCCTCCCCCTTGGGTCGGCTGACAGTGATTCACCTTATATACCACAAAGGGAGGGGGGGGAGAGATAGGGATGGCGGCTGTGTCATCTCGTATGAGGAAGCGGGTCGAGAGGCAAAGGAGACGGGGTGGGTCGGGAGACGCAGGAAAACGCAGTCATAGGAGGGGGAGGAGGTTTGCTGGCCGCTTCATCGTAAACGCCTTTGCCCCGGGAAGGCTCAGTATTATACTGTACTATAAAATGTGTCTGGCGTCTAAGTACTAAGGACATTTAAACTTGTGTGACCAACGATCCTGTGCTCGTTAGCTCGACAACAAGCCCCGCTGTACTCAGGGAATCATGCTTTTCACAGGTTTCTGATGGGACGTGCTTGCTGTGTAAAACTGTAGTGTAGGCCTGAAATATAGCAAAACATGTTTTTCCTTGGGCGTCGCCCTTCGCCCCTCTCTGTGGTTCATATAGATATATAGACATGCTAAATAATGTTACCTAAAAGGGCTCGTTCATTCATTATTTCATTTGGCAACCCAGTTGCCCAGGTTTTTTTCCTCTTCCATATTTTATTTGTTGGCTGGATAGATCAGTGGTTTAGGTAATTTGTCTGCAGAGCCAGAGGTTGGGGGTTCAGTTCCCCACCATGCCTCCTGTGGAAAAAGCCAGCCTGTATAGTCATGGGTAAGCTGGACAGGATGGCCTCAGAAGAAGGGGATGGTAAATCTCTTCTGTATACCTAGAAAACCATGGAAAGGGTCACCATAAGTCAGAATCAACTTGATGGCATTTATTTACAGTATTTTCTTAATATACCACATATCTGGTTGCAAGTCATTACTCTGGGCAGTTTACAAAAGTCAGACACTTTTATTGAATTTTATTTATTCTTGACATCTGCAAAACTAGCTACCCTTTTGAGTTTGCTGCAGTGCTGATATATTGCCAATGAAATTATTTGTGGTCAGAATAAAAATTTAATCACAAATTATTAGGTGTATGACCTCATTTTATACACACACACTCTCACACTTGCTCATTTGTAGGCCTCCATGGGCCTCTGCACAAGAAGAAACTAGCATTCATGTAAAGCTGCCTGGAATTTCTCACCACTCAGGGACATAATCATATTCACATGCCTGCTTCATTTATTTCTGTTGTCTTAAAGGAAAAGATGGAATGGGAAAATGCAGGAGCAATAAATGAATTGCCGGATGCAGCTGAGCCACAGCCTCATTCTTTTGCTATAGAAGTGCTGCAAAGATGCCCAGCCCAAATATTTCTGCCCTCTGTTGCGGAATGTAGTGAAGAAACTTATAGCTGGAGGTCACAAATACAACAATAATTGCTGATTTCAGATTTGCTTCTCAGACTAAGCCTTCAGCATGTATTAACTTGGGCTGGAAGATACTGTGCTGGGATGCACTTCTCTGGACCTACCGGGTTCTTTTTGTTTAATTTAGGAAACAAAAGAAGAGGAGAGAGTTGTGGCAGGAAGATCAGCTTTATAGAAAGTGGTGCTACAAACTCTCTAGAAGCTAAAATGACTAAACCTAAAGCTATTGTACTTTGGGTACATCATGAGAAGATGGCAGAGACAATGCTGGGAAAAGTGGAAGACAGTAGGAAAAAAGGAAGATGATATGATTTAATTCAATAAACAAAGCCAAAGTACGTATATTTCATAAATCCTGAGCAGGACTGTTAATGGCAGGATCTGTTAGTGGTCACTTATTCATAGGTTTGCCAGGAGCAACTTGATGGCATGTAACAACAAAAGGAACACTGCTGTTGCTCCAAGGTCCTTGCACAATTCTTTCTACAAGAAATACATAGATGCAGAAGAGGATCGAGCTTTGCTTTTCTTTTCCCATAGGCCATTCTTAAGCAGCAACCACCATTATTGCTGGTGAAGGAGGCACAATATTTTTCAATCTTCCTTTGCAGGACTTGTTTTCCATAATGTTGGTTTTCAACCTGTAAGTCCTCAGGAGGCCAGAACTCTTCACCATTTGTTGTGTGTGCTGGAGGTTTCAGGACCTGACGCACAATGACATCGGTGGATCCAAAGTTGAGAACTGCTTTATGTCTGGACACCCAGAACTGGACACAAAATTACAGATTAGTTTTGGTCAGTTCCAGTCCTTAAATAGAATCAATATTTCTCATGACGTGGAAACTCTGGTTTTATTAGTTTATGAGCAAAACCAACAATTACTTAGAGAAAGAGATGAGATTAAAAAAAATTAAAGTCTCCCTGACTGCCTTTTTCCTCTCAACAAAGCAATCTAACAAATTTTACTAAGCTTCCTTCATTTTTTATGAAGGGCCCGTTTTGCTCAATAGTTTCACTTCTGTTTGTTTTGTTTAAATAACAACAACAGCAGTAAACTAATGGAGACTGAAGAATGCTGCCCTCCCTTTTTGGGTGTGTGTGTATTGGGAGGAAATAACATGGACTGTATGACTGAACAGGTGTAGAGGCAGTACAGTTGAAGCTAAAATGTTTGTTGACATTCAGAAGTATCCTGTATGTTTTGATTGTGCCCAGCATGCATCTGATCCCTGGATTAAACACCAAACACCATTCAGACATGACTGCTGTCGCAGACCTCATAGAAAGATCATACATTTTGACATATATTACACTTATCTTCTCCCTAGCCAAAAAGGCTCTGCTGGATGTGAACTGTAGGTAGCAATTTAAGTCCAACACATCTGGAGGCACAAGCTGTGTAAAAATTAGACCAATGGGCCTCACCAGTCTAAGAACTGCCTTTCACTGCTGAAATGTGTATGTAGGTTTAATAAGGCATGAAGGTTACCATTTGCAATGTGACTTTTTCCAGTTTTAAAACAGAAATATAGGCTTAAAACACTAGTACATAAAATCAGCTAAAATTATAATGTCCCTTGACTCAGATTTTTGTCAGCTGATACAGGCACATCCAGATTCTATGTGAAGGGTCATCTCAGACTTGAAAAGTAATGGCAAAGCTGGAAGCTTTTCAGGGTAGTTTCAAACTATTTTGTACAATAAACTTGAAAATAATATATCCTTTTCTTATTCTGTGTGTTAACTGATAGGTGGAGATGGGTGCAGCTAGATCTGGAATTTTACACATATCGTGGCTATAAGAGGTTCAATCTTATTTACAAGTCTGCATCCTGTGCAAGGCAAGAGCTGTAGGTTGTAGCAGGCCATGGCAGAACAGGCACTTCCAGAAGTGCTTCTAAAGCTACAGTACATCAAGATTTCAGGAGCTTAAGCTTCACCCTTGCGTTTTGGTTGAAATATCACATCACTCATTAATTCAACAGGGAGCTACAGGCAAGCCATTCTCTCTCCAGCTACAGAATGGAGGTAATGCTGGTCTGCCTTACAAGGTTGCTAAGCAAATTAATAAATCATGTGAAGTATGCCTGTTCCCAATTGCAGTGGCAAGATAAATGTAAGTGAAACAATACAGCTTTTTCATGATAGTGCAATTGTGAATAGGTATCTTTTAAGCAACCAGACAGGATGATTGTTCTGTGTTGATGCATGCTCCTTGTACCACATACTTACAGACCATACTGTTTGTATGATCTGCATGTCTATGTTTCCTTTAGGCCAGGATGCTGTGTTTCAGCTGGCCACAAAACGAGTGATTTTAGCAATATTTTCTCCCAACCCTGCACACTTACCCCACCATTCTCTGCCAATATCACCACTTTTTTCTCCACCCATTACGTTCTCTTTTATACATTCCTGCCCCCCCCCACTCCATGCAGTGTTGCATGAGTGAATATAAACTATAAGTTTTGGATTATGGATTTACCAAAAAAAAATTGCTATAATGTAAAGGCTGGAAGGAATGATTGATTACTGCTAGATAGACAATCACCCTAGTCCAGAAAAGACCCTCCCGGTCACAGAAATTACATGGATTGCAGTTACAACTCCGACAAACCCCTGGACTAACATTGGAGTTGCTGTTAAAATTGTGAATAGGAATACCTTATAGTCACCAATCCAAACAAGCAGGCAGTGTTCCTTTTTATACTGCTGCTTTAATTTTGCCTTAGCTAAGGACTGACATCACACTACACCCACTTTTATTTCTAAAGAGAACATTGTTGGTGAAACAGAGCTTTGTTTACTTCAGTAACACCGTGCTAAACATGTATCATAGCACTGACCAGTGGTATACATGGCTATAATATCTTGTGTGATTGCTATCTATAAAAGAATAATCAGGCTTTATAAATCAAAAAGAGTTTTTATTCAAACGCACATAGAAGGAATAAGGAAGCTTCAGTAAATAGAGGAAAAATACAATTAATAAAAAAGTTTTTATATATATTGGCTGGATTATTCTATATGGGTATGTACACATATATACTGTATACACACACAAACACAAACACACATACATATATGCATACACACACAAACACACACACACATACATACTGTATATACATATATATAGTATTTTTCCTACATCTCTGTCTTGTTGCAATCAGAGGTTTATTACAGTATATATAATTTGATAAAGTTTAAGTGCGATAGTTCTTTATAACTGTAGTCATGTACAGTATAGTACTTTCTGTATAAACAGATACTTGCATTGATATAAGTTCTAACAAAACCACAGTTCCTTTCACAACCCCTTCATAAAACTGACTACACTCATTCTAAGTCCAAATTCTAATTCACATAATATGCAGAATATATATGCAGTACAAAATTGTCACATGCAATACGTATATCAATATAGTGCAAAGGTTTTTAGCTGTGAAAAGATCATTAACTTCATTTCAAACCATAGTGCTTCAAGACATTTTGTTGTACAAGTATTTCATGCT